TAAGATCGGTCCTTCAGGAATGGGAATGTTCAGAAGCTGATAAAGCTTCAAGATGTTCCGTTCCCGAGGTCTGTGGGGACGTTTGGCAATCGCACAGAAAATCGTAATAAGGTTCCGCACACGCCATCCAGCAGCTTTGCAGAAATCACCTCGGCATCGATATGTGCAGATCGGTTCTTAAAGTTTTGACTATCGATCAGTACATATATATCATGCAGCTGGGGTACGTGTTGCTGGGGGTTTTCCTCTGAGCCTGGTCTTGTGGAAGAAGTCAGCCGCGGCATCCGCCAATGGTTCTACGGATGGTCTGCACCCCACCCACTCAATCGCTCGCCCGACCACCAACCAATTGAAGTCCAGGTCCTCACGCTTTAAGTTCACAGGGCCCACAATCAGCCTTCCGCTTGACCCCCGAGCTTCCATACCCGGAATTTCGCACCAAACTTCCGCCAGCGATGCCATCCCGAAAAAGCTAGCTTGAGGGAGCCTATAGATAGGAAAACCGAAATAAGCCCCGATCGGAAAGCTTCTGCTAGACTAGCAACTGCAACGATATGTTGTGCATGTTCCACTTCGATCAATGGCGCCGAAGGCCTAAGGCCAAGCCTGGAAGCCAGAAAGCTACCATCCATAGGTTCAAGCCCACAACCAATCGAGCAATGCAAAGCACATAGATGCAAAAGTACAGCCAGCGAGACCTCGGCCCTGCTCCAGGCGCCAAGCGACGGCGAGATCGACATGCCTACCTACCTATGTCATACCCATACTTATACTAGCTTAAATACATATATATATATATATATATGTAGGTTTATTGTAGACCCACAGGCATACAGACATGAGACATACATACATATAGTACCGACATACATATACATACATACCCATGCCTACATACCTTGGGCTGCAGGTTGAGATGCTCTTGCATAGACGTGCATGCACATACACACATACATGCACATACACACATACTTACACACACACATTCACCTACACGTGCACCTATACATACACATATGTACACTTACATTACACATACATATATACATGCAAATACATACAAATGCTTACATATACATATATTTGTACATATATACATATGCATATACATACATGTATATACATGCTGCATACATGCATACCTATAGATACATATACATACACGTGAATGTGCATACTGTGGGAGCCATTAGGAGCCTCCAATCCGTATGTCGACTTATTTCCGATATCTCGCTATAAGCTAGTCTCGGTGCTGCTACTTCGATGTATGCACTCCAGCCAACATCCTGCGCGGCTTTGGCCTGCTCCGAGCTGGGAAAGTTGCGAAAGTTCAGGGTGCTTAAGGCTTAAGGTGTTTCAGGTTTAGGTGGACATAATTGAGAGTTTTAGTGCTTATGGTTTTTTTCGGAGTTATGAACGATGCTAGCTACTGCAAGCTGTGCATGCCATGATGGGCACCCATAATAGAGGTCCTGCTGCTGACAATACCTGGGGTGGGTAGGCTTCAGGTAGTTCATGCTGCGATCACGGGATGATACACTATGCACATCGCCTTGCTACAGGCTAGGTCGATTTCGTTCTGCTAGCATAAGATGCAGACTACCGATACCAATTTCTGCACGTTTCCACAAAATCCATCACACACGGAAATCTAGCAGATAAAGATGCGGATTTACCATAAGTGTGCGGACGAAGACAAACATGGAAATTAAGATGCGTTAGAGCTTCCAGGTTTGCCTGGCCCATACCCTAAACCCTAAACCCTAAATCCTAAACAGGCTTTGTCCGAGTGTGAGTGTCAAAAAATCCTAAACCCTAAACCCTATACCCTCTTGTATGATTCGTACTATGATCGGCCCTTTAGCGTGTTTCACATTGTCAGACTCCGAACCATATGCCTCGCCTGGTTTGTCCGAATGTGAGCGCCGAAACCCTATACCCTGAACCGGAACCTCCACGCCGCGAGACCCTAAGCAAACCATTTCACGCAAAGCCCGAAGCCCTGGCTTTAAACCTACCTCCAGGTGGGTGGTTGTCAACATTTTTGGTCCCTTTCTGGGTACCCTAAATATATAATAGGTGCCGTATTATAATAAGGACCCCAAAAGGAACCATAATTTTGACAACCACCCAGGTTTGGTTACTCTTGTGGGGATGGCAATCTTGGTGGAAAGTGCTGCATCCTGGAGCCTTAACACGACGCGGTGGGCTTTTTGGTTGATCGTCTTCCTCAACGGCCTGGCGGGAGAATCCATGTTTTTCTTACATATTGGTGGAGCCCAAATTAATTAAGGTCAGGGATTTCTAGATCAACCATGTTGGGGTCCCCGTTACAAAGAGGTATCATTGGGACCGGTTCTTGGGATCATAGATATCGGTAGGGATCTAAGTCCGCATTCCTTCTTACGCGAAATAAACGTTTTAGTGGGTTTCCAAAATTGGAAGGCGATCCTAATCTTGGCAAGTGTCCAGGTGCAATTTCTGAAGGCGGTCTGGTTGCTGTCATGGACAACAATGTGGCAAATAATCACGCCAGCCAACGAGAAGACTTTCTGGCAGATGATGGCGCAGTGCGGTGGGGGTTTTGCGAAAGCATACATATATATATATATATATATATATATATATATGTTCAGCTGGGCGGGTGGCAAAAATATATAGGTTCGGGTTCTTCCATGCATGACCTCAACCTTAATTATCTTGCAGAATTTTGGGTTCCTGAGCCTTAGCCGTAAATCAAACCTTACACCTGTGCCCCCAAACCCTGTACCTGTAAGCCTTGTAAACCCCTTGACCGCTACTCTCCGGAGAAAAGAGGTCGACTTTTGCTGAGTATTATAGGGGCCTCAATATTTGCCTATACCATGTTGGGGGTTATTATAATTGTGGTATTCTGGGCCCCTAAACCCTATTCTAATTATTCAAGCCCCTAGGTCGGAATGGAGGCTTGGTCCTGGGCCCGGTGGCCTTCGCTGGGCTAAGCTTCCTGGTGCCTGGGCCCTCGTCGAACACATGGGTAGTTGTCAAAATCAGGGTCCCTTTTGGGGTACCCTAATACTAGGTGCCGTGCTATCTTAGGGACCCCAAAAGGGACCAGAATTTTGACAACCACCCACATGAGTTTTGAGTGCAAGCAGCATGGACATACATTTAATTGAAGGAAGATAAGATATACTTCCTCACGCCGAGACCGGGTACCCAGGTTGAGCAAGGTCGGGATGTGTCTCCGATCAGCATGATGAGCTGGTCTATTGTAGGGCTGGTAGTGTTACAAGCTGTGGAACTAGCTTGCGCTTCGCTGTTCTATCCGACTGTTCTCATCGACACGTCTCCTGGCGACAACTTACCAGAACGTCAAGTTTTAGCGTTTACGGCCTTGTTCTCCTTTCTGGCATTCAGCCCGCGAAACCCCTGAGATATCAAGCGACTGAGGTCCGATAAGGGCTCTGAGCTGACCAGCCCTCAGACAGAGGATGCAAGTCTCGTGCTGCCGCCAGAGCAGTTGCCCCCGGAGTCCCGGGAGTTAATTGTGAAGTACATGATTGCATACAGCCACTGGGTCATTGTTTAAGAATTTGTACATGAACACTTCCACCCAGCATGGAAACTTGAAGTCTCAAAAGTTACGACCATAAAATGGCCGCTTTGCATAGCATACAAGACTGCTTCAGGTTACGAAAGGCCTTTCACGCTCTCAGCCATTGAGGTGGCGACCATGATGCTTTTGGAAAGGTCATATGGCTGGTCTCCTGCTCTCTGTGGATCTTCTTTCATGGTGGTGGGAGGAGCGAGCATGGTCATGACTGCCTTCTCCAGTCTATTGATTTCCAGGAAGTGGGTGGCAGAATCTCAAGTCTTTTTGGCCGCATCTGTTGCATCCCTGATTGGTGTGTTTTGGCTTTTCGATTGGAAACATTTTGGGCCTGGCACGTTGTTATGGGCCGACGCCATGATCTATGGTGGCGTAAGCCTTTCAAACGGTGTTGGGCAAGGCCTAGCAACCCGTGCTGCGACGAAGGGCACAAATTACAGCATCGAGAAATATCGCATGCACAACTTAATGGGCGTGAACTTGAGCCGCTTTCTGGGGCCAATTGCTGCCCGCTTCATAGTGGACTTCGGGGGCCGCAACACGTATGCAGGACTCCAGATGATTGTTTGCTTCTTGGGAACTTGCACGGTTTATCTCACGGTACGTGTGCTCTGGGCAGGGGCAAGTGGAGTGGCTTCAAAGCCCGATTCCAGCAAATGACGTGAAGCTAACAGCCCGCAGATTCGATGCAGGAAAGGTGGCTTTTGCTATAGCTTGCCGAATATCGTATATGTACCTTGGATAATGACGTGTGTCACTCTCGCCCGAACAACATATGCTCCATGCAACTCCATGTAAAGTGCGAGTGAATCTGGACACTGGGAAATGCTCTATGCTTTCTTTGGAATATGGGGTTGTTCTAACATGCTACAAAGCCAAACAATCGTGCGGCCAAGATGCGAAGCTGGCTGCAGAAGACATGCCATCTTGCTTACCGATCAGGCCCCTAACTTTGGAGAAGCCCTGAGCGCTCAACGCCCTAGACCCGAAGCCCAAGTTTCTTAAGCCCTTGGACGCGCAGAGCCAGATGCCCAAACCGGATGCAAAAAGGGCTTGAGGTTGCAAGGGTCGTCCAGGTCAGACCTTCTCAGGCTTCCATGGGCTGAAGATCATGAACTCTGGCAGCCTTTCTGATCCCGAACCTGAGGCCCCCGAGCGACTGAAGCAGTGAACTCCAAGCTAACTGTATAGATAGTCGGCATATATGTAGTTACGTGCTATCTCCTTTTCAGTGCTCCTCATCACACGCATCTTTGCCGCTCAAGTTGGCTCCTCTCCTGCATGCCCTAAGCCCTATAAGCCCGGGATCCTCAAAGCACCCTTCAAAACAGCTGGTGTCGTGTTCAGACAGTCCCACACCTCCCCATGGAGCTTGCGAGCACCGCGCCGCGCAACGCCCCTTCCGAAGGGAGCCTCGAAGATCGACTGAAGGCGCACCTGTATAGTTTCAGACGGGGTTCTGCATGGGCATTCATGCGGTTGTGTATGGTCCTTTTGAGAAGTGTTATCAGTTCTGTCCTTTCTGACTATACGGTCCTTTCATCCAGATGGGCTACCTCAAAGGATGCCTTCAACGTCCTGGAGTCCCTTTCCAGAGGTCTGCTGCTTTTATCGACCTTAGGGGTTTGGGGCCCTAGACTAAGCCCGAAGCCCTCAACCCTAAACAGAGGTTGTTACTTATGTACTATGATCCGTTAGTTTGTCTCACTTTGTCAGACTCCGAACCATTTGCCTCGCGTGGATTGTCCGAGTGTGAGTGCCGAAACTCTGTTTCGGATGCAGCTGGCTCTGTGGTCGTACTAGACCTCTGCATGCCCCTCCGACATCTCCTTGAAGCGTTCTCTTCGACAGGGGAAAGGGTTCTGGTTAAGCAACAGACATAGGGTTTGGGGATATAATCAGGAACCCACATGTATACATGCATATATGCATATAGTTCTTACTGTAGCACTGTACTTTAACATCTTATTCTGGGTTCCTTAACAAGAACCCCGTATTGGTGCTGCAGAAAGCATCAGGGCCAACTGATGGATTATGAGGAAGTGCTGAGGCAATTCCAGACGGCCAAAGCCGAACAGGGAGAGGATGAGGATGTGCTCCTATCTGCCTTGCTACAGAAACACCAGCAAAGTGGACGATGGAAGCAGATCGTCGCGGCCTTTGCCAGTTTGTCAGAGACCAAACGGAGCAAGGAATGGCTGCAACGCAGGGGCAGACGCTTGAAACTTCGTGACGAGGCACGGGAGGAGGTGAAAGCCGAGAAGACAGGTTCTGCACCCGAAGAAGAACACGTTGCAGAAGGCCGCGAAGTGCCTGACATGTTCTTCCGGGAAAAATTTCATATGCTGAAGAAAGCAGTTATGGGTTGCCAAACAGATAGTCATGCGCAAGGCTTCCTTAAAAACTCCAGAGATGTGCAGATGGAAATGTGCTCAATCTGCCACAGTGTTGAGTACAAGCCGCCGGTGCAAGGACAGATTGATGCTGTTCTTTTCCAACACTACTGTGCATCTTTGTCCAAAACCTACAACTTCAGAAAGTCTCGACACTGGACCACAGGGTTTTGCTGCGAAAGCCAGCACTGCAAAACTCGGTTTATCGTGATGAAATCGTTGGATGCATTGGGTTCGCCGGGGGATGGTGAGCTCGTCTTCCTCACTCTGCGGAATGCATTGCGTGAGTTCTTTACAGAAAAGGCAAGCAATGCTAGGAGAAAAGCCGCGATTCGCGCAAAGTACAGCGACATCTTGCCACTGTGTTTTGATCAGTTTTGCCCTTTTGCAGACTGCATGTACACAAAGCCTCTGGCAGCTTTGCGCAAGCTTGTGTTCGACCACCTGGAAACACAGCGGGGGCTCCTCAGCCGTGCGTTGCAACATCCTGCAGCTATGTGGTCAGCAGTTGCAGCTCATTTGTCTGCGCCTTTGCAGGCGCAAAACGTCAATTGCCTTCTGGGTAAGAAAGGCACAGCACTGGAACAAGGCTTGCGTGATGCTTACGTAGAATGGCTTCTGGACAGCATCCTTCCTACATTGGGCATTGTTGATGCTGGACGAAGCTTTGGCAAAATGAAATCTGGCATTTAGCTTAAAGCGGTCTTTGCCGCTGTTTCAGGGTTCTTGTTAAGGAACCCAAATGAGGTGACCACACAAGGAATATCTGTCATATGTTAACTAACCAATAACACTAACCGTGTTATGGCCACTTTGTTTAGCTTCTGCAATAAGAAGAACCCAGTGTGCCTTAATTCGTGAGAGCGTTAGTCAGCCTGGGGTCCGGTTGTGTGTTTCGGGCTCAGGGTTTACGGCCTAAGATCTTGGACGAAGTTTGTGGTTCTTAGACAAGATAAGCCCCAATCGGATCCCTTTTTGGACGCCCAGCTTGTACCTGCTTACGAAGTCCCGCAATCTTCCAGAAAAGGTTTAGGTCTAGCTATCCCGGACATGCTCCGGTGGAAGGAATGAGCGAGTGGCACATCATCCCGGAGTGGCAGAGGATCCTCATGACATGCACTACAGCATCAAATCTGGGCATCCCCACAGAAGACCTGCAAAAGATGACTTACGAAGACTTCAGCGAATGTCTCAAGGGTTTCTTGGACATAGAGCTGGCCTTCTTGACCCATCTGCCTGGGGTTGACGTGGATCGTTGGTTGTTGCGCCTGCTGTTGTGGTCTTCCTTCCTCACGAAGTATCTGCTCCTTGTGGACACCCTGTCAGTGGAACTGACGAGTGCGGAGGACATCAAGCTACAGGAGCGCATGCCTGATGCTTGGCAGCATCAATGCGGACAAGTTCCGAAATGGAAGGGGTGAGCAGTCAGGAGTGCCGAACATTAGAAGATTGGAAAAGGTTGAGTTGATCGTTTTGCAGTTTTTTGTTCCCATCTTCGTTTTGCCGGATCCCCAGACACCAGTCATCAGAAGTAGTGCCGCGCCTTATCATTCTCGTGGCACCCTAGAGTCACTTTTCAAATGCAATGACAAGAGCATTGCCGGCCCCAGCCAGCATCAGACAAAGTTCCTGCAAGTCGCGCAGATTCGGCGAGGAGTCCTGAGTTTTTGTTTTTGAGTGCTGGTGTTTGGGTTCTCGGGAGAAAATGAATGCTTTCGGTAAGCTACAGTGTACGATAGTGTCACTGTACTTGTCGCATGGAGTCGCATCCCTAACCCAAGATTGCACAGCAGTAGACAGCCCAGTTCGCAGTATGCGGTTGCGAGAAAATCGTATACTACTTGGGGCATATGGTGCATCCTTTCTTCAGGAGCCCACCCCCTAAACCCTAAAAGCTGTAGGGGGGAAAAGCCTTGAACCCCTGAACCCTGAGCCCCAAACCTTAAACCGGCCCGTGGGCCACGGGCCATTGCAAGCAACAAACCTGACCCGTGACGAGAGCTGGCGAGTTTGATTGTCGAACCCCGCTGGTGAAGAGTAGTGTAGAGGACTCTTGGCTAACACCGAAACAACCAGCGGCGGCTCCGAAACAGAATCTTCTGACTGCTCATCGTATCTAATGCACATTAGTTTGAAGATTCTTCAGCCTTGAGCCGACAATTCGGAGGAACCCGTGGAAGATGTGCCCGCCCTGGAGCTTGCTCGACTGCCTGTGGGAACCTGGGTGCGAAGCACGGAGGATAAGTTCTTCGGCGGACAACCATGTCCCAGCAGATGCCTTAGGATTAAAGGTTTATGTATGCAAAAGCCCACTTAGTAAGGTTTCTGGGTACCGATCTTTTCCTGACGCTATCAACCCTTCATCGCCATGCATCCTATGACTATGATTTTTCATGGGAGGATGGGTAAAACTAGCTCCGTGTCCATGTTGGGTTGCATTGCTTGCCTCAGGAGTGGCATGCGCGGGGAGTTGATTGCAGCGAAGGGTTCCACCTGCTTGGTGAAGTTTCCAAACCGTTACCATTTGGAGGAGCGCTGTTGAAGTCACGTAAACTCCAGATAAATACTATATAAATATAAATATATATATATATATACAGATAGAGAGAGAGAGAGAGAGAGAGAGAGAAAACAAAAAAAGGTCTGGGCACCTGCACACTGTTTAACTCATCATTCTAGTCACATGCAAAATACAGGGTACAGGGTTCAGACTCGCACCCCGCCGTCGTCCGGCGGGGGTTTTAGGTGTGCGGATTAGTTTGGACCAGTAGGGCTGAGGGTTTCAGGGCTTTAGGTGTAGGATATGAGACTTTTTAGGTCGGTGGAGGGTAGGGTCAGTAAAGCGTACCGGTGGGGCGTACCGGCACGTCACAAAGAACCATGTATGCTTCTCTCTCTTTTGTTGAGATTTGTTTCTCGTCCACCTGTGCACATCTTCGAGATTTTGGGGGTTTGGGGTGCAGGGCATTGGGCTTGTTCGTATGTTGTGGCCACTTCGCATAATGCCCTCACTCAATGTTTTGTAAGCTGGCGGGGAATGAGGTACGTTGTGCGCCGCAGCTATCTGCATCGCATTCCGGTGTATGTTCAGTGATGTTCAGAACGTCCTTCCACGCTCTTTTGGGGAAGATTACATTTTAAGTTGTTTTATGGGTCTTATTACCTATATAACCCTTACAACCAATAGAACTGCAAATTTTTGTAGGGCCAGCAAATCCCCCCGGTGTTGTGGATAGGCCCTTGCTTGATTTCAAATTCGCCACCACAAAGTGGGCTTCTAGTCGTCACAGTCTCTCCAACACGCAGTTGAAACCCCTACCATGCACCCCCAAACCCGAAACCCCTATAAATCCCACACCCCTAGGTAAGCCCTTAAGCCCCAAACCCAGCCTAAACCCAAAAAACCTAAACCCTAACCGTAAACCCACCGCTTTTGGGACGAATTCCCCGTGCTGTTCAGCACACTTGCACTGTCAGAGTGGTCCGCTGTTGGGACGAGTTTGTTTGTAGGTTTTTGTTTTTGGGTAGGGTATGGTAATCGCATTTTAAGGCAGTGGGATTAACAGATTCAAGAGGGCCCACACTAAACGCGAAACTCTATGCCTATGTCAGGAGATTGCGTCTCAAGCTCTTTTTCCAGTGGGCACCGTGGGGAAGTGCCAGGGATGCAAAAAGCTGGGCGTTTGGTCCTGCAGTGGCTGCTGCTCTGCGCCACTTGAAGCTGATTCGACACTGTCCACCACCCATGAACCCTAAAGCCGTAAAGCCCTAAACCTCATAAACCCGAAGCCCTGAACCCTAAACCCTCTCCGGGTGAATACAGTAGCTTGGTTTTGGGACGACCTCCTCCTTCTCACTCTGGTCATGGACCCTGTGCAGCAGTTGACGAGCGACGTAATTACTTGTATCACGAGCAATGACCAGCTCCACAAGAAGCCTTCGAAAAACGACACCACTAGTGATGAGAAAGCTGGCACTGATTTACGTGGCGAGGGTTGCTCAATCAATGAATAACCGCTTGAGCCTTGCCGGGAGCGCGCAGGGGCTCATGAATCCGCTGATGCAGCGGATGGCTTGTCTACTCTCAAGGTAACTCCATCAAACCCCACAGAACTCACACAGACATGGGGGCACACCGTTGTTTTTCGAATACCGCCCACTGAACTGACAGGTTGTACTGTTCCACGGAATGCCAGCATCTCCACTGGGCAAACCACTGTGCGATGTGCGCACCGGCCGAGGACGCGCCGGACGCGCTGGCGAGCGAGGCAGTACCTCCCCACGTAGACTTGCGGAGCCTCGTTGACCAGCTCAACTTTGCATTGCAGATTCTGGAGGCGTCAAAAAGGGATGAAGCTCCTTGCGGCGACGTTTGGAAGGCCATTGCGCTGCTAGAACACGTCATGGAAGTTCTGGAGCCAGTAGCGTACGAACCCCTACGTCTGGCAAAAGTTGAAGATGAGGAGAATGTGTACTTTGTCAATGGATCTCTTCGCTACCTTCTGGTAAAAGTTCTGGTGTCTGCAGCGCAAATGACAGGGCATGCTGGAGACGACAAGCGTGCAGTCTCCTATGCCGACCAGGCCATCTCACTTCTTGCAGATCTGAGACAGCAGTATGCGAGCCACCGCCTTGGAATGGAAGACCATGTCGTTCTTCAAGCAAAGGCACACTTTGCCCGGTCTTTGTCCTTACCGTCCTCGCCAGAGAAACGGCAGTCCTTGCACACTGCAACGCAGCTCTGCGAATACTATGGTTTGCCCCGGTCAGAGTGCATATATTTCCCAGATTCGCACAAGAAGAAACTTGGCTGGGATTGGGTCGCCAAGCTCGGAAGCGACTCAGGCACATGCTCCGACGAATCTGTTTCTGGGAACGACAGTGACAGCAATGTCCACGACCCACCACCAGCACCGCCGCTTGCGATTTTGGATTGCGCAAGCTGTACGAAGTGTGGCGATCGGGTCAAGAAGAGCAGGCTGAAAATTCACTGGCAACGAGAGTGCCCGAGTAGGCGGGCGACTTGCCCACATTGCTCTGAGTGGTGTGAGGCTGCCTTCATGGAGGAGCACCAAGCCAAGGATTGTACCGAATATCCCGTCTCTTGTGACTGGGCTCTCGATTCTGACAGGCTTTGACCCTGAACCTTGTAATCCCTGAACCCCTGCGTTCCCAATGAAGCAGCACAACAGAGCACCCAGAGCGGATGCCTTTGAGGCGAGCTCTGCCACACTTCAGTGGCCCGAAGGCTGATGGGCCATCACCTGCGTTCAGACTGCTGCTTCCGAATGGTTTCTTGCAGTATCCTGAGCTCAAGTTTAGGGTTTAGGGTGTGCTGGACAATCCCCTTGTAATCGCCAAAAGCTAACCTCTGTCTTGTCTCTTGCCGAGGGAACTCAGCTACTCAGTATCCCTGGGCTTTTGAGTAGCCCCACTTGAATTGGACTTCTTGATTCCTGGGTTCAAGAGCCGCCAACTTCAAAGCCTAGGTAACAGTGGCTGCACCTGGCAAGATGTTGCAGAGAACGCCTCGATTCATCAGGAAAGATGCCCTTTTGGTCAGCAGACGTGTGAGTTCTGCATGGAATCTTTTCAATCTCGCTTTATGCCTTCCCATGTTTGCCCCATCGTTCTGATGGATCAGACCTGCACTGCTTGCTGCGAGCCCTTCGCAGATTTGGCCAAGCAAGACATCTTGCCTGCGATCTTTTTGCGACACTTGGCAAGATTCAACACCAGAGCCCGGAGCGCTGCACCCCGTAACCTGTATCGCGCCTTTAAAATTTAAACCCAGACCCACTTAGATTTCCTTAAACCCTATAGACCCTGCATACTCCCCCAACTCGCTCACTGGACATTCTCCCTTGAATCAACCCGCACCTCAGCAGCACTATAGGGGGCCTTATAAAATTCCTAGGCATGCCAAGTAAGTCAAAAAGGACCCTTAGGAGGGAGGGGGGTAGGGGGCCTTAATACCTGTGAGGACTTAATAAGTATGATTAAGGGTCCGGCAGCCGGGCCTGCCGCCACGCCAGCCTCTGCGTGCGATGTGCTACCAAGTGGTCGCTCCGTGCCGAGAGCCGAAGCTTGCTGCCGCAGTGTCCGCTGTGCCGAGCCGCTGGGACCAAAGGAGAGCTAAACGGCTCATGATGGTTCGGTTTACTGGATTTTCGGGTTTATGACATATAGGGTTCGCAGTATAGAGTAAATGAAACCAAGCGAGGGTTCGCCTCCAAGGTGGAGTTTGACACCTGGGCGGCATGCCCACCGGATCTTCTGGTGGAGGCGCCTGGGCGCAACTGGGGCACACTTGCTTTTTCAACATGAACAATCAAGCTGATCTGAAAACAGCTTTTTGGAAAGCAAGGAACATTTAACTCTTCATACCCTAGAAGATCGTGAGCGGTAGTGGGCATGGGCGGATGGTTAGGTGAGCCCGGTAAGGTAGCACAACCTCCCACGGCGACTTCCAGGCCGTTCCCACGGATGTGCGACTGCCCAGCAGACTCCTATCACTGGTTGTCGCCTTTGCGCGTGCATTTTACACATGCGAGCATCTCCGAACACTTCAAGAAGGAGGAGTGAGAACCTATAAGTAATCTACTCTGTTATACAGGATATACTCTGGTATACTGTCATGTGCTATTCTGTTCGGTAACATTCTGTAACACATGTAGTACTACAGTTTAGTCTCATCCACAACATTTGCTACCTATATTAAAATGTTGAAATGTACTAGAATGTACGAACACATATGAGAAACTTCTAGAGGTACTAGAACAAGTGTTAATATACTAGAAAGTTCGAAAACATACAAGAGACTATTCTATAGGTACCAGGATATATTAGATTATACTAGAATGTACGAACATATGCTGGCATAGCTTCTGTCTATACTGCAATATACTGTAGTTTGCCGTAGTGTACGTCAGCCGATAAAGACGATGATATCGAACAACGCATGATAACATACCATAACATACTGGAGTGTACGATATATTCCTGTTTGCTAGGTAGGTTCTACGGCAGCAGGTCGCCCGTCCTTCGGGCTAAGGGTTGAAGCGGAAGCTGCAGGGAATTGCAGCACTGCGGGGAATGAGATGCCATCCGCGATTATTCCTTAAAGGGGTTTAGAAAGGGGGATTTACGGGTATCCCCTTCCCTCATGAGAACACATTAATCCTTGCATTGCCGTGTTCACGAATTATGGATGGTAACTAATTAATGCCCTCATGCCTGATTTTTAACCAGCCAGCCTTTGTGTGTTGGTTGTCGGTGCCTTGGAGGAGAGTAGTTTCGGATGGAGGAAACCACGGATCCTCGACACCGTGCAGCAGCTCCTGCAAGGCGTTGAACCAGAGGAACTAGAAGCTTGAAGGAAATCATCGAGTTTTCCGATCAAAGTACGCGTAAGTTCTGGCGTCCGGGGATTCGACTGGATTCGGGGGAACAAAGGAAACCCACCAGCCCCCACTCTCCCCAAAAATGGCCAAACACATTGCTGATGGGGTGGCGCATGGTGGTGTGCACCAGTTTCTTGATGCAGAGCACGCTGGAGTTTGCCGTCATTTGCCAGCTGTCAGTTTGACTTAGGATTGCCTGGAGGTGGTGTGGCACCAAGGCCGTGTCTATGTGGCAGGTTCAGGCAATCGCCGCCTTTGTGTTTGGCGCTGCTTTGGTTCGGAGTAAGTATAACCTTCTACCTTCTTGTGGGTAAGCGAAATCCCCTTGCATGACCCCGGAAGGGGTAATCTACTGAGCCAGTGGGATGTTCCAGGTACTTAACTAGTTCCCCAAATCCCGACGACGAACCCGGTAAGTGTAGCTGCTTTGGGCACCTATACAGTTCACCCCAGAGGCGAACCTTTTGTTCCCCCAAGGGAACTCTGCCAATGAGGTTTGCTTTGCCTTTTCTATCCGCAGCAGTGGGCAGCGGTGAAGGTCAAATTCAAAAACCGGGGCGATCCGCGCATCCATTTCAAGGCGGCCTTCGACACGGACGCTCGTCCCTATTGGCGCCACAAGAGCATGAGTAAAGTTGCAAGTCACGACTTGGGGCAACTGGATTCCCTCATAAGGTGTTCGAACTGGGGCTTCTGCTGGCCAAATAGCGTAAATGCGCCCTGCAAAGATTCTTGATGCTTGTAATTAGTAGGGATATGCATACCTTGGGATCCTTCACACGATTTAAGCCATTTAAGCAACCCGTCAATTCAACCCTATAAGCCCTAAATCCCTAAGCCGAAGCAGAGCCAAGGCCTCAGCCATTGGCGTTCCGTCGACCCCCGACAGGCTAGGCGTAAAAGAGGTGTCCCAAAAAATCCTAGTTTCGGGGTGTGCAGGCCGCATATAGCAAACATGAAGAAAGATCCACAGAGGTCCAAGAGGACTCCAAGAGGGCCACACTACATGCCAAGGGGACAGACAAGCTATATAGCGACACCCAACGCCCAACACCCCGAACCTCCTCCCAAATCCGCCAAATCCTCCAAACCCTAAGACCTAAAACCCCAAACTCGGAACCCCAAACTGCGTAAGAACCATACATCCCCCCAAGCCCTATACACGCCAAACCCTAAATCCCCTAAATGCGAACACCCAAGCTGACTAAGACCTGCAGCGGCGACTTTGTCCAAGTGCGCCGGGGCCGTTTCGTGGGAAAGACCTTGGAGCCGTGTGGCGACCAGGGCTGCTCAAGGATCCCTCCTAAACCCAACCCCACAGCCTAAATTGTAAACCCATGTATCATTCAGGGTTTAGGGAACCCCAAACCTTTAACCCTAAACATTTTTGTACTGGCTCTATTCACGAAGAAGGGAAATGTCGTACATTGTGTCCCCCTGCATTACCCTGTGAAGGGGGATATGAGGTACCCAGTTCCCTACTTCCCTGCAAAGAACCAGTAGGGTGAGTAGGGCTTAGAGTCCGGGGCTTGCAGCTATCACTGCTTGTTTCCTTCCCTTTAATTCCCGAAACCCTGAACCTCACACCCTAAACCCTGAACGCCGAACCCCGAACCCTAAATAGTAATTAGTGCCTTGCACCCTAAACCCGAAAGCCCCTGAAGAAAAGCCTAGGCGATGACCCCGGCGTGGTGTGGACAGAAGCCTGGGACTTGCTGAAGCCGACGCCTCGACGACTCGGCCGCTGATTTCCTCTGGGCCCTAAACCCTAAACCATTCTCTCTCTCTCTCTCTCTCTCTCTCTATCTCTCTCTCTCTCTCTCTCTCTCTCTTTCTCTCGGTTGCTTGCTTACCCCCCCAAAAAAAGAAACAAAAAGCAATGGAAATGCAATGACAATTCTCATGCCGCCCTTATGGGGAAGCGCATCCGACTGAGCTTGGACTGCTAAAGGCAGCTTTGCTCATGTGCTGAAGAAGCTTTTAATAGTCATGTGCAGCATCGCATGACAAGTAGTATCGAGGGTACAAGCGGAAATCTCTTGTGCAGTGTAGAACGAAACCGTTCTCAACCATGAGGCGGGGTAGTTAAGATTTTCCGCGTACCGGTATGGTCGTATTTTACTGTTTGCATTTTGTGCGAATGCTCCCATTTTCCTTTAGTGAGCCCAATGACGTTTGGTGCACTCCGCAGGCTTTGAGTATCAAGAAGATCGACAAACACAACACGAGAAGTATGGTTTTCAGGGTGGCTTCCTCGTTTTTGGATTCAGGTTTGGGGAGCTCAGGCTTTGGGGGTGGCATGGCTCAACCCAGCGTATGGGGGTTTAGGGTTTTTCGGGGTTTTAGGGTTAGAGCTCGGGTCAACTGTCAACTCCCACGACCTTCTAGATTGCAGGTAAAAGCACCTACACTCCTAGACACTTCCAGAATCCTCAGGAAGATGGAAGGGTTTCTCTGCATGAGCGCCAGCTGAGTCATCACCAAGGGGAGTAGGTCGCTTGCAATCCGACCAAAAAACCATAAACACAAGCATAAACAAGGCACAAACTGATTACGAAAAGGGCTTGAGAATGCAAGCGCCGTCCAGGTCAGAGGTTCTCAGGTTTCCGTGGGCTGAAGATCATGAATTTTGGGAGCCCTTCTGATCCCGAACCTAAGGCCCCGAGAGACTGAAGCAGTGAACTCAAAATTAACATTCCTTGTATACAACTACATATTTATACCTGCAGAACAGCGCCCCGCTGAATCGCCTCAACTCGCAACCCATAGCACCCGTGCTTCATGCTCGTCCTGCTCAGAAGGCAACAGCGTTTTGAAGTACTTGGCCGCAAGGCGCATAAAGAGAACATCAGTTAAATACCTACTAGAGAGGATGCCGTTTATGCGGGGAATTCAGGAGAGAGACATTATTTGTAGATGAAGCAATCGGCAGTCTTAGGAAATAGGCGTTGCAGGCTTTACGGTTCTCTATTTGTGGCCGGGGCAGGCGATGGGCTCGCCCCAACTCTTCGAAACAAAAAGCCCCAAGCCCTGCACCACGGGCCCTGGCCATGCAAAGCTTCTGAACCCTGTGCAATCCCATGGCCCTGACCTCAACGACTGACGACTTAGTAAGTACTATTCCACAGGTATCCTTGCTTAAAGTGCAGAATACTATACCCCAAAACCTAAGAACCTCGCCTGGCTGTGTCCGAGTTGTGAGAGCGTATACCCCAAAGCCGTACTCTAATTATCGAGGCCTGATCGAGGCCCTTACAGTGAGTTCGTTCACGCCCAGGACTGAGCCGAGCCTGATGCGGCATAACTTAGAAGCTGCCCCCACCCTGGAACAGTGACCATAAGGATTAAACGAGGGCCCCACCATACCCCCACCACACCACTAACACAGGGTGAGGGCCCCTTCTAAGGCTGTCGAATGCTAGCTTGGTGATCAGGGCATCTGTAGAGTGACCGCTGCTCGAGTTTCCTCATTGCCGGAAATCTGCAGGTTTTTGTTCAGGCTTCGGGTTCAGAGAATCGCAGAGAGCCATCTACAAGAACTGCAGAGCTGGTCAAGTCGCAATAACGATCATGTCGTGAAACCAGCGACTCCTTCTGACGGTTCGATCAGATCTGGGCCAAATTTAACTCCTTTTCTGGCCCATGCGCACGAATGCTGCCAGAAAGTTCCTGCAGTGATCCGCCGCTTGGCTGATGAGGTTTTAGAATCTCTTTACCTTCGCATGTTGTTCTTGGAGCTGCCGCGGTAGGAGGGACAGGGACGTAACGTTCACGAACGTTGATTCGACAGTCCCATTAATTATTGATAACACGATACTTGATGCCAAGGTCAAGACATCAGCATTCGAACGAGGCTGGGTGACCTCGTCGCTGCAGTGTACAATACTTTTTCGAGCTGACATTGACGTTACGGCTTTCGCAAGTTTCCTGATCCTGTTGCCTCTTGTTCAGTTTCGATTAGCTGGGTTTCTCATAGATTATCCTTCACTTCGCTGTGTGCTTTAGGGTTCCAAGAAGGCCTTTTTCTCCTGGGCTTTAATGTCGAATCGATGTCTTCTGCATGCAGAGTCTCTCCTGAAAGTTTGTAATCTTAAGTAATCGCTGAGTGATCTGATACTCCTACGCATTTGCTGGTTTCCGTTCCTGACTTAACTAGTTTCCTCGGCGTTCTCTGCAGAGCTTTCCGCTCATCGACCGGTTTCCATCTTTTTGGCTTCAGATTCCTTTCGGAACCATCGTCCCCCACTGCTCTAGTCCTGCCTTCCTCGCGTACACTTTGGATACACGAAACGACAAAATTTTGTAAATTTCAAGTCTTGCCGCTTGAATCTAACCCTTCGCTCTTTCCCCAACACCTTGGAGCGCACTAGTGCAACATGTTGTCCTGCTCCTGCAGCGGTTGATAAACTCCAATGCAGCTCCGGGGCAAATGTATCGCCGGACGGTTGCTGTGGAAGTGTTTTTGCAGCATCTGATGTACCTCGGCACCTGGAGCGTGGGAGGCCAAATACAACTTGAAAGATCCGCAGCAGTTGGCCGCGTTCCTGAAATATGCAGACATCCTCCTCGTTCGATTGAAGTGCCGCTTCCCCCACTGACAGTGAACTATAATGCATGAAGATCGTGTCCATTTTGAGGTGCTGTGTCGTATGTAGACTACGGTATCGAGCCTGCAGGGATTGCTGCCGCAGGTACTTGTACGAGCTACGGGGCAAGAACAAGCTTCTTCCCCGACGGCAAGAAGCGGTGCCGGCCTAAGACCTGCCCTGTCGGTGATCATGTTGCCATCGGAATATTATCGAAATCCAGTGCAGGAAAAATGGGGCCTCGTGAGCCACGAAGAGGTGAGCGAGTGGGCTGCGGGAGCGCGGGATGCGATGTTGATCTCGATCTCGCATGCCTGGGAGACCCGGGAGCACCCGGATCCTTGTGGCGACCAGTTGAACCGGCTGGTCGACTGCCTGTGTCTCTACGATGCTGCATTTGAATCGGAAATCTGGGTGTTCTACGATTACGTCTCTCTCTTTCAGTTCGAGCGGCAGACATCTGCGGAAGAGGAGAGCTTCCGACGGTCCATGAGCCACATGCACGTGCTTTATGCGCACGCCTGCAACTGGACTTTTCGACTGGAAGCTCTCACTCCAGACGATGTCTGGGACGCCACGCTGCAGAACTCGGAGCATCTCGTGATGGTCTATGATGTTGAGAGCGGATCCGTCCAAGGCCGCCCCCTTGGGGAGCTTGTGCCCAACCGCGTCCCGTATCGAAGTAGAGGTTGGTGTAAGGCAGAAGTTGAGTGGTCCTCTTGCAGGAGCATCTCCGAACAAAACCAGCGGATCGACACTGCTGAGCCCGGAGACTCCGAAAGACAGGGTTTGCGGGGCAAAGTTCCAATGGCTCCAGAGGTTTTCGAAGAAGAAATGAGGAAGGCCGAATTCACGCATCGGAACGATGCCGCAGCAGTACTACAGCTGCAGTGGGAGATTTACCATGAGGAAGTCTCGGAGTGCGAAAAGGCACTGCTGGCAAACTTGCCGAAAGGCGAGTTGGGTCAGCTGGCCAACGCCCTGAAGGACTACAAGAAGTTGAAGGTTCTGAGCCTGCAGAATTTTGAGGTGGAGGATGAGGAGGCCGAGCAGTTTGCGAAGGCTGGGGCCTCAAGTGCTGCGGATGCACAGAGAGCGGTTGCGACATTAGAAGCTGATCTCAGGCCCTCGCCGTGAACGAGACCATCACATATCTGGGGATCAACAGTGCCAGACACTCCTATCGCACAGGTGCCCTCTGGAAGGCGTGACCATCACATCAGATTGGGGCACTGGGCTCGCTGAAGCTTGCAAGCCGCACCCCGTTGCCTGTCGCATCGGAGACGAGGTCCTGGCAGATGCTTTGACGATCAACCACACCATCGCCAGCATCAACCTCGGTTGGAATCATCTCGGAGATGAGGGCTGCAAGGTCCTGTGTTGCTGGGGAGGACTTTGCAGCTTGCAAGCCGGGTCCTGTATTCTCTTGCCAGGCCCTCGCGGATACTCTGAGGACCAACGCAACTATCACAAGCTGCAACCTGGAATGGAATGGCATTGGAGACAAGGGCTGCGAGGCCCTGTGCTGCCGAAGAGGAGCTTGCAGCTTTCAAGCCCGTCTGGCAGGCCCTCGCAGATGCTGTGAAGACAAACACTACGATCACGAGCATCAACCTCCGATTCAACTTCCTCAGTCGCTTCGGAGACAAGGGCTGCGAGGCCTTTGCGGTGCCCAAGCCCTTTGTAGCTTGCAGCCCCGGCCCACCTTTGCCTTGACAGGCTTTCGCAGATGCTCTGAAGACCAACACTGCCATCACCAGCATCGACCTCCGCCGCAACCAGATCGGACCCTTTGGCGGCAAGGCTCTGTGCTGCCCACGAGGCATTTTACAGCTTGAGTGCGCTTTTGTCTGCGAGGCGCTGGCAGATGCCTTGAAGATCAATCGGACCATCGCCAGCATCAACCTCGAAGAGAACTATGGTATCGGACACGAAAGCCTCCAGGCCCGGTTGCGCAGACTCTGGCTAATCGTGCTCGGCTACAGAAGCTTGGGGCTTAGGAGATCGAAGAGACCCTGAAGACCCGGAAGGCCGCCACGAGAGACCAGCAATGCTGCTGCTGTCACAACTGTTTCTTGAGACCGCGTGTGTTTTTTGTTTTTATGGTGCCTTGACTCTCCGATGATGTTTGAGTCCAGGTTTTGCATGTGCAGTACAGGCGGGGGGAGGTGAGGCAGCAGTGCACTCAGATCCAGATCCGAGTACTCAGAAAGTGGCAAACGAAGCCCTCGATCCGACTCGACCAAAGAGATGTCTTTTGGGGCTGGACCAGGAACATCTATCCAGGCACGAAAACAGTTGCTTGAGAGCGCTGGATCCGCACGGCTTCAATCAGGTTCTGAATGGTTTGCCGAAGGAATTGCAGCTTGTGGTATGGAGGCACCTGCAGACATTGCTACTGACATTTATTTGTGCACTGCCCAAGGGTCCAAAGGTCAGAGACACGAGATGCAGACACGGATCAATGCTTTGCGTACTGACCTGGGCAGTGGGAGATGCAACAGTGGACAACGACCCCCATAAGCCGCGTGGTTTGCAGGCACTCCTGAGACTTGTTCCGCATCCTCGTGCAGGACAACTCTAGCCACTGCGTTCGGCTTTGACGGTGCTCGGCTGGCCCACCACATCTGCCCCTGAGCCATCCCGCCGTCAAGGTTGCCACATTTCTTAATTGATCCAACCATGATGGCTGACCACCGGCCGTGGGCGCAGCCGGGGCCGCGCCCGAGGTAATTAGAGCAGCATCCGGAACTCCGGCAGTACAGTGTGCCACCGTTTTGGTGGCACGACCAGTCGGCTTCGGAGGTGTTCAGTCAGATGTTAGAGCCTAACAAAATTGTGCTTCACACGGGGCACTGGCCCGAAAAGATCTTCATTCGCCAGACGATGCGACGCCCGTCTGCAGCAGTAATATCTGCAAAGAAATTTTTTGAATCTCAAAGATTTACTCACCTCCACTATCCGCCCGGGAGCAGCTCAGTCAGACATTTTCCTCACCACGTCATCCTCGGCCCATATCTTCCACAGCCTCGGCAGCAGATCTTGCATCAGCTTCACCCACGTCTTCGGCCCTATGTTTTGAGCGTGGGACCTCGAAGATCGATACACTGTCTGGTAGGAATCCGGTAGGTGTAGTCGCGGCATCAGTGGAGCTGACTGACATAAACGGACAGGGTTTGAACAAGCCTCAGGTAGCGGTAAACGTTGGTGTCCCTCTGACCCCCACAGTCGACAACATGTTCTTCTTTCTGCCTCACCATGTACGCAATAACTTCAGCTCGTATCCTGCTGGTGGGCATCGGTTTGTTCGATCTGTTGTGCCATGCAGGCACCTAGGTACCATCACGATCTATCTCGATGATCTCGGTGCCGCCGCTCGGCCCTCGCGCAGACCTACCGCCTGTCGTTTGGCATCGCCCTGTATTTGTAGCCACAGGATCCCCACAGCCAGGCGGCTGCACCGGTTTGAATGTTAATGTTGCCGCCTCAACTGCAATGACGCCTTCTCAGCGAAGTTTGTTGCATCGAAGGTCCCCGAGCATTGGGAGTGGCCGCCAACAAGTAGCACACCTTGTGCTGAGGCGAACGTGCTTGCTGAGCGGGCACAGCAATGGCATCCACAGATGAAGCACTGCGATAAACTAAGTTGCGCGACCCTTGCGGGTCAACCCCCTGCAAACCGTCGCCTGCTCGAAAACAGCTGCGATGACCACGGTGATAATCTCATCCTGAGCCCACTCCTGCGGCACACTCGGCAAACACCACGATCCAATCACTGCCTCCTTGGCTTGGCCAACTCTGAGCACTTGCTTTCGACCGGCGAGTCATCCCCACGAAGGCTTCATAAGGATGCAGCGTTAAATAGTCAGCCTCAGGCTCGCCGTCATTGGATTCAATCCGCTTGACCCCCGAAGTGGTGCCAGTAAGCACTCGTCGTCCCAAAGGTTCCCCAAGCAGTCTGCCAATCCCTATCTTTTGAATGAGAGCCTTTAAACATTTCCGCCACGGCAGCACGGCACTTCTGTTCAATGGCACTTCCCCAAAAATCCCACCGCCGCTGCGCGATGATGGCAGAGTTCCTCCGATTCTTGCTGGCCCGATTCCAATCCTTTGGTGGGACAAAGTTCCGGACAAGGACCAATCGCAACACAGTGGCCGGCACGGCATTGAAACTTCAAGTCTTCTTCTCAACCAAGCGTCCCCGGTGGCACCCCAGAAACCTTTCATTTGGAGAGCGTGGCCTTGTGAAGGGCCGCCCGTCCTTTCGGCTACCATGTGCCATCATCACAACGAATCACGACAAGCAAGCAAGATTTGAACTCTTTGCCCGCGGCAAGCACCTGCAGCTCTGCTTCGCCACGATGTTTTGGCCAACACAAGCAATAATTCGCCAGCCTCAGCTAAAGACCTCCAACTCGTTTCGTATGCCAATCCTAAGTCCTAAGGCCTCAAAGCCCTTTCGTCATCATGGTGCATAGACCGCCGCTGAGTTCGGCTAGCCTCAGCAGCTTTGGGCACCTGTTTGCCGATCCTTGGAGCCACCACCTCCGTCACTGGTCGCCCTGTGGCCATCTTTCCGGGGGCCTGCAGTGGCACCAAACTTAGCATCAACACCGCCATCTGGAGGAGGTGGGGTTCCCTTCGCAACATCAAGCTGCACCAAGGAAATGGAACTGAGCACGGTCATCTGACTGGTTTGATTGTGCCTGGCCCGGGGTTCGTGGCCTCAGCATAGCGAAGCAGTGAAACCGGCACACATACGGAGAAAGACGACCATGCACAGAGAAGCCCCACATCACGCCGTGGTACGTTGAAGTCTTGAAAAGCATTGATTACCTATCACCCGCAATTGTAGGTTCACAGTCCAGCTGTCTGTCTGCGGGCTCAGAGTCCGGGGCCACCGCATGCAGGTAGCCGGTCATCAAACCCCCGGTGCACGAGATCGTTTTGGTTGTCCACTCCCGCAAGGCCGCCACGGACTCCGAAGATACAGCGACGGGCTCTGCAGACGCGCCGATGTCCCATGCCGCGGCCTTGGCATCCGCCGGCTTGTAGAGTTCTGCAGATGATGCTCATTCATTCGCGCATCGGCTCTTTAAGTCTTTGAACGAGGAGGGTGCGGTTTCACAACATGTTAGTTCGTGTCGGTGTGGTGGCGCCAGGGTTCTTGGCTTTAGAGCGAGCAGTTGGACTGGTTCGATCCACACCTTCGAATCGGCTTCGGCATCGGAATACCGAACACAAGAACCGGTTTGATGTCCCATCCTTCATCTGACCGGGGGGAGGGGTGTCACGTGCGAGACCGAAGCACCAGGTCACTCATTGAGTGAGCTTGGTGGGATCGTCCCAGGCTCCGCGATGAAGGGCCTCACGCCCATGGCTTCCGTGGCAGGTTTCCGGGGTGGGTGAGTTTATAGCAGCACCTCTGGGAAAACAGACAATCTGAGTGTGTTTCGAGCACAGGCTGTAGCGACTCGGGCTTGTGACCTTGTGGCTTTCCCAACTCCGCCAAGAAACAGCAGAGGTGCATGACAACAAGCTGTTCCTTTCCAGCGTCCCTACGCTAAGAGCGCTCAAGGCATCGTCCTTGCCCAGCCAACCACAAGCCGGAACCGACATCCCTGCCCTGTAAAGATCCAAATCCCTGAAGATTTGCATGGCCTTCTTGGGCAGAGACTTGCAGAGCTTCCCAAAGCCTCTCAAAGTTTGGAGCACCTGCGAATGCATTTCGAACTGACTCGGCCGAGGCTTGGACGGGAAAACAATGCAAGGGCATGGAGGACTGTGTTGCTGAAATCTCTGGCGACTGACCGACGTTCTTCGTTGTTGAAGTTTGCCCTGCCACAGGGCCTCGCCTCGTGGCTGGTGGACGTCAACAGCAATTTAACCACCCTGCAGTGCTCGTCACTGAGCTCTTGGGAGGCCTGGGAGCACATGTGATTCTCCTTGGATCCGTTGGTTGCCGGCGTGGTCGTCAGTGGCATCATCCAGTCTCCTTCTTCCCGGCGAGGTGCTCGCGGAGGCTTTGAAGATCAACCGCAAGATCACCACCATCGATCTCAAAGGGATAGACATGGGGGATCAGGGTGCCAAGGCCCGTGCATGAGTGCACACGTAATCTTTGCAGCTTGAGCCGGTCCCCTATCCCTGTGAGGCAATCGCAGGTGCTTTGACGGTCAATTGCACCGTCACCAGCATTCTCCTCCATTGGAACCAGATTGGAGACGAGGGTGCCAAGGCCCTGGTGTGCTCACGAGGTCTTCGTAGCTAGAGCCACGCCGCCAGGCTATCGCTGAGATGTTGATGGTCAATCGGACTGTCGCCCGGGTAGCCCTCTGCAGCAATAATATTGGAAACGAGGGTGGCAAGGACTGAAGCGTGGGACAAGTCTTGCACTTTTGCTGCAAGCTCGGCCCAATCTCGACTGCTTCTCCCTGCAAGGCCATTGCCAAAGCCTTGTCGAAGAACGACACTGTCATTTGCATGGACCTCGAGGGAAATCCTGTCCATCCCCACACTTTCCCCTTGTCCGTCAGAAAAAGGGTGAAGTGTGATGGCCGGTATTGCGCCGCTTGCCTCTTGATGTGAAGCTCAGACTGCGCTTCCGCTTTTACGGCGCACGGCCCGCTAGAGGCTTGCCTTGTTTGTCGACGCAGCACTCCGCAGACGAACACGTTGCAAAAGTCCCATTGACACGAAAACCAGGCATCTCATGCCTTGCAATAGAATGCGGCTGTTTTTGCAAACCGTAAAATTTCAGAGGTTTCCCAGAGCAGTGTAGCAGGTTTCGGTTGGGCCAGGAAGCATTCAGCACATCTGTGATCCTGCGGAGGGCAGCCGCTGCCGTGCAATAGTGCACAATCTGTAGAGGTCGAGGCGGCGTATAGTTATAGGTACGGCCTTCAACAGCCCTGTGTTGAATCGAGCCGCTCAACTGCAACGTGCAGAGTGCAGAGTTTTCTGTGACACGTTGCCTGGCCACCTGTCCTGGCCAGACTTTGTCGGCACAAGTCCGATCGAAACTCTCAAAGGCCGCGATGCTAACCTTCCCGGCTGCAAGTAAAAAAAAGGGGTGCTGGTTGCCAATGTTGCATCTGCCAACACAGCCCTGGGTCCACTTCGGGAAAACGAACAAGCCCCTGCATGATAGGCCGATAGGCTGTCGGGAGTTGGACTCTTGAGGATGTATGTATCATGTCTTGTGGTATTGTTTTACTTTTCATGATTCTTAGTAGTCTTAGTAGATGATTCGCCAAGAGTGCGTCGTCAACAGCCATGTTGGCCGTGGCATCTACATGCGGGGCCATGGATGAGGAGACTCTGGATCTGTCAGACCCGTCATGCTTCCTTGCGCAACTTGGCTTCCAGCAAAGACATGAGTGTGTATTGAGCAATGGACTCCGCGCAAGCACAGCAAGTGCAGTCTCGAGGCCCAGTCTCTTGCAGTACCTTACCGCCCCTTGCCTTCGATATCAGTGCCTGGAAGTGATTCCTTGCGAACGGCATGAAAGCGTTTCAAGTCTGGAGAAGCCACACCAAAGAGATAGCATGCATGTGCCAAAGGTGGTTGACATTCTCCAGTGGCGCCTTACATCCGGTCGTAACAGCAATCCCAGGGCCGGGGGCTTTGAGCATGTTGGCGTCAGCCCAAAAATTGCAACGCAGTGAGAAGATGCACGCTGACAAGGGCAAGCGCTCACCAAGGTTTTGGTAAAGCACCTGTCTGAAATGGGCAGGTTGGACAGGCACGGTGAAGGGGGCTCACATACAGACATCGGTGCACGTGCCGTGCAGGCCCCACTCCATTCTGGATTTTGCCAAGACGCTTCAATTCGCTTGCTTTTGGCGTAGTGGCTTCAAATGCTTCAATGCCTCCAGTTTCTTTAGATACGATGTCCAGCTGGTGAAGCTTTTTCAAAGCCTCTTGATCCGCATTCCTGCATTCTTCATGGAGATTCGTTTAGTGAACGCGGTCGACATTTTCTAATCTCAGGCCGGTGGTGGTGTGTGGAGCTGGCGAGAGCAAGGCAGACATGTTTCGCAGAAAGTGATGTGCGCGACATCGTCGAAACAAACCTTCGAAGCTTGCTTGGGCTGTGTGCCAGCGCAGATGCCTCAGTGAGGGATGCCGCACATTGCGTTCTTCGCACTTACGGCCGCAATGGACTACCTTTTGTGCAGCAGTTGATTGCGGAAACCATGCTTGGCCTCACGCAGAACTTGCTGCCAGATTCCGCGACAATCAGCCAAGAGGTCTCGATCCAGGTTGTGGCGTGCACACGGCATCTTGACAACGTGGTGCAAGCTCTGGCGGAAACACAACGTCGACAGTGGGTGTCCCTGCTGTTCAGAGTCCTACATGGACAGGGTCAGAAGGTACGGCAAGTTACCAGACACCCAAAGGAAGTGGTGGTTGAGGAATTGGTTAAGAGACTCAAGCTTCTTTGGAGAGCTGATGACGATCCCAACCGAAGCTATGCAGAAACAGAGCAGCTGAGGGCCCTCCAAGATGGGTGCGGCGAGCAGTCTCCCTAGCACAGCCGACTGCGACCTGAAAAGAATTGCAGGATCGCCTGTGAGTGAAGGGAACGTGTGAAAGACCCCAATAGTATTAAACTTAAACAGGCAAAAGCGTGCATCGTTATTTACCTTTGGGCCCTTTTATTCTATTGATCACAGTGGGAACGAGAAGGGCTCAGATACAACCAAATTGCCTGCAATGAAGTCGACCAATCTGCCACTTACCATCTAGAGCTCTAGAAAGACCCTGGCTTCCGGCTCGCCTCTGCTCGTGTGCCTATGTGACCGCACTCTTCCTGCGGAGAAGGCTGCTTGTCTCGTTGGCAGCGCTGTTTCTTGTGCTGTTGGGATCTGCTTGCGATTGCAAGCACACAATGCCTCGAGCAATGACGGCAGGAGTTGGTAAACAGGTGGCCCATGAGGTACAGTACATATCTTTTGTCGATGATGCTTTGGTTCCAGTCCAGACTGCCCTGGGATGAGGTGAACATAAGTCTGGCTACTCCCATGCCAAGTTGTGCGAGGCATTACCTGCTGCAGGTTCTTGTGCTGAGGAAACATGATGGTTGCACATTTGTTTGGAAGCATTATGTTTATAATGTTTCTGGAGTTTCTGGATGTTGCTCATGGGATGTCCGGGGCAGCAAAGCAGTGCAATTGTTCAGCGTTCTTTGGTCAACAAAGATGCAACATCAGCACTCTGGCGCAATCAATCCTGCGAGACTGTTGTAGTCGTAGTGCCCACGCTTGCGAACGGAACTTCCAAATCAGCAATTTGCCAAGAAGTTGCAATCTTTATGCAAACAAAGCTGCCAATGCAGTCACAGTTGCAGTCATCAGGCCGGTCCATGTGCAACAGCCGACCGCCACATACTACAGTAAAGCCTTCCCCTCCCAAGTTGAAGGAGGCCCTGAAGTCCCGCCCGGACCCTTCAATTTAGAACTGAGCAATCCAGATCACTCCTGGGTGGATAGGGTTTCGTCTCAATAGAGAGTTTCGGATTCCAGTGCTTGAGGGTTTTCTGCAAAACAGGAGTCTATTGTTTTTCTCACATGGCTTTGCTTTCAGATTTCGTCGAACCTGGTAGAGCTGATGCCGAGCAGTGAAGGGCGCATACCAAAGATGGTGCAAACTTTGGACTCCGCTGCCCATCGAGGGCCCGACACGTCATGAATTCCCAGAACTTCTAAGCATCCCTGAACCCCAAAAGCCGAAGAACATCGGACAGGCCGAGGCCCCCGCTGCACCGCCAAAGTTGCGGCCTCTCGGCCTCCCCGTCTGGTTTTTGGGCTTCGGAGCTCTTCGTGCTCCACTTATGCAAGAGCTGCTGAAGTTTCAGCTTGTGGCCTTTGGGGCCACATCCCAATCCTTGGGATGTGGAGCCCTGGGATCAGGGCAGCCCTGCCGGAATTTCGCCAGCAGTTCTGTAGGGACCCTACAAGAATTCCCTCAGAATTTTGCCACCCTCAGAATGCCGAATTCCTGACCATGTATGCACACGCAAACACTTTCTAAATACACAGCCGGACTGAACCATGCAGACTCAGACTATGTTCAATTACTGCAGGATCAGCTTGTGCTTGGCTGTCCCTGGGGAACCCGGAGCATGAGCAAAATTGATCGAAGCCGAATTTCCCAAAACAGGGATCCCCAACTACCGTTTTCCGAAATCTTCTCCTCAAGGCCTTTCTGAAACATTGACCCTGCGTTCCCCGAGCTTCCAAAGATCGCACCTCAAAAACCAGGAGCCTTCCCACACAGGTACAACCGCCGCTTCATTGAACCCTCATGTTGAGATTGTTGGACCAGATGCCAGTGCCCGCCCACTGGCTGTATACATATGCATACTTTGGACGGTCATTGTCGGCGGAATGCCGTGGTGGGATGCCGTGGTGGGAGAACATCCGCCCCATAGGTTTGGAGTGAAGTGTGTTGTTTGCTTCGTGGGGTCCTGCTTTCGGGCTATTGGCTTCTTGCATCATTCGTTTCGTGGAAGGAAGTCCTGAGCATTCCTCTCGGGTTCTAGTTCGGAGCTGACGCTCAGAGCGTCGAACCCGGGTCTCAAACTAAGACCCTGACAATAGTCAACATGCTGGAGTAGACGCGATTCCCCCTTTAAGCCGCGACAACTGAAGACTCCGCTCGGGCTCGGGGCCCGATGCGTTCAATCAAACAGCCCCAAGCCCTCACAAAATTACTTTCCCATAGTATAGAGCACAGAAACGACCCCTATATCTGCTTGAGTTTCCGAGGCATCTTTCTGATCATAAAGGCAACTGCCAGCAATGGTCAACCGCCCGAAATCCTGCATTCGGGTGACCGGGAACAAGGTCGGAATAGGTTCATTTGGGCAGTGACAGGAACTCCATAGCAAGCAGAAGACTCCCAGTAGCAAGCAGCAAACATTAGTAAAAGAAAAAGAAGCGGAATCCATGCCAGGTTGCCTCAAAGCTGCCAGCTCAAAGCTCGAAAGCATTGTCAGGGCTCGCGGCTCGGGCTTACCTGTACTTACATGCTTGTGGGACCCATCGTCATGGGGTCTCGCCAATCCCAGACTTGCAAAAGAAGTGGAGTTCCTCTCGGAGGCTTTGTGGATGTGTGGGATGTTGGATTTCGGGGCAGTGTGTGTCAGAGGAGCCCTGCCGAAATCGAACTTCCTTTGCAGGTCTTCTGCTTCTAGAGATTAGAGTCCTAGAGGCAAGCGGCTGTCTTAGCTGGAATCCGGCCAGCAGATAGGGATCCCCATCTTTCCAGAAGACATCGGACGCCCCTGTTGCCGCAGGCAGAGTCTGACAGATGGCTGAGAGCAAGGCTGGATGCCGCTGCTGCTAGTGAGATCTTGCTGGCTGGTGTCTTGTGCGCACTTTCCGTAATCTAACCTAGAGCTCCGATTCCAGGTGCGTGTGCAAGTCTTGGAGCTTAAGATCTGAGGGTGGGGGATGGTCCCTCCTTCAAAGTTGAAGGGCGAAAAACATCCGCAGACCGCAATAAACCGCAGAGCCTGACATACGGGCCACCGCACTGACCCTTTGCGAAACTCGCGTCGTGGTCGGAGCCTCCTCCTTTCTTTGTGCTTCCTTGACTTCTTGCACGGGTCACAGACTCACAGGCTTGAGCTTGGCTTGAAGCGGCTTTTCAGGCACTCGCTCGGGCCTTTGTTTTTGCTTGTTCTGCTTTCTGGCTTTTCAACTTGCATGCTTTCCTCCTTCGGGTGGTGGCCCTTGCTCTCTCTAGCCTGGGTGCTCAGGGCGGTTTCTGCACTTGCGCGGAGCAAACAGATGTGAAGCTTCGTGTCATCTTATTCTGACAGTTTCTCGTCAGGGCTTCAAGCTTGGATGCAATGCTTCATTCGTTTCCAAGTGGCCTGGATCACAGGAAGCCGATGGCCTGTATGCATAAATCCCGAGCTTCAGCGGAACACCAAAGTGCAGCAAACTTTCGACAGCAGCAGCTGGGGTCAATTGGCATGGGATTTTGCTGTCGTGCAGCATCCTCTGGGCTTGGAGCATGTCAGGCCAAGTACAACCTGGAAGACCCGCGTCAGTTGGCGGCGTTCCTGAAATACGCAGACATCCGTCTGGTTCGGACGAAGTGCCTCCCCCAAGCTGACGGAGAGTTCGTGCATGTGAACAACCTTTCCAGTCGCAGGCATTCACGGTGGGCGTGTGTCGGAAGGGAGTCAACGATTGGCTAGGGGAGGTAGCATGATTCATTGCGAAGACCTTTGGAGAGTTCTTGTATTGTTGTCACAGGTACTTGTACGAGCTGCGAAGCCAAAGCAAGCTTCTACCTCGACGCCAGGAGGCCGACCCGGCCTTAGAAACCGTATCATCTTCTCGTCGGTTTCTCCTACAGTCCTACAGCTCGCCAAGGACGAGTGGGGTCTGGTGAGCCACGAAGAGGTGAGTGAGTGGGCCGCGGGAACGCGGGATGCGATGATGATCTCGATCTCCCATGCCTGGGAAACCCGCGAGCACCCGGATCCCTGCGGCGACCAATTAAGCCGGCTGGTCGACTGCTTGTCTCTCTACGAAGCCGCCTACTATTCAGAGATCTGGGTGTTCTACGATTACGTCTCTCTCTTTCAGTTCGAGCGGCGGACATCCGCAGAAGAGGAGAGCTTCCGACGGTCCATGAGCCACATGCACGTGCTCTATGCGCACGACTGCAACTGGACCTTTCGTCTGGAAGCTCTAACCCCGGACGATGTCTGGGACGCCGCGCTGCAGAACTCGGAGCATCTCGTGATGGTCTATGATGTTGAGAGCGGATCCGTCCAAGGCCGCCCCCTTGGGGAGCTTGTGCCCAACCGCGTCCATTATCGAGGTAGAGGTTGGTGTAAGGCAGAAGTTGAGTGGTCCTCTTGCAGGAGCAGGTCCGACCAAAACCAGTGTATCGATGCTGGTCAGTCCAAACGTGGAGTCGAAAGCGCGAAAGCTAGAGCCGCTAGAGTCTCTAGAGCCCCGCTGCAGGGCAAAGTCCCAATGGCTCCAGAGGTCTTTGAAGAAGACATGAAAAATGCCGCCTTTACGCATCGAGACGATGCCGCAGAAGTGCAGAAGCTCCAGTGGGAGATTTTCCATCAGAAAGTCTCTGAGTGCGAAGAGGCACTGCTGGCAAACCTGCCGAAAGGGGAGGTGAGTCAGCTGGCCAGAGCGCTGAAACATTACGAGAAGCTGAAGGTTCTGCGTCTCCGCAACATCGAGGTGGGGGATGAAGAAGGCGAAGAGTTCGCGCAGGCTGGGGCCTCGCATGCTGTCGATGCCATGCAAGGAGCGGGATGAGAGAGAAGAAACTGATCTAAGGCCCTCGGCCTCAACAGAACAATCACCGAGCTGAAGCTCAAGATCATTGAGTCCTCCGGGGCTCAATGCGGCGCCCTCTGGAACGAGCCCATGACAGACATGGAGATCCTGATCAAGAAATCATATCAGAGAGGGCCGGCCTTGCAGTTCTGGAAGATGCGGGCGTCACATCAGTGAGTGTTCACCTGATCTTTCCCCATGATAGGCCCTGGCGAATGCGCTCAAAGCCAACGAAAGCATCACCACTGTCAACCTCGAAGGCGATGTCATGGGAGCCGAGGGCTGCGAGGCTCTGCGGCGCGATGCCCTCCGGCTCACTGCATCTTGAAAGCCACAATTCTGGCGAGGCCCTCGCAGATGCTCTGACGATCAATCGTACCATTGCCAACATCGGCCTGGCATACAATTACTTCGAAGACGAGGGCTGCAAGGCCCTTGCGGTGCTCACGTGAGCTTTGCAGCTTGCAAGGTGCACGCCCGCGGTGCCTCTTGCCTGCAGGCCATTGCAGGTGCTCTGAAGACCAATCGCAGCATCGCCCGCATCGACCTCAACTGGAATCGCATCGGACCCCGCGGCAGCCAGGCCCTGCCGTGCCCATGAGGTTTGTCGCTGTTTGAGCTTAATCCCTTTTGCCTGCAAGGCCCTGGCAGATGCATTGATGGTCAACCGCGCCATCACAAGCATCAATCTCCGCTCGAACAACATCGGAGACGAGGGCTGCGAGGTCCTGCGTGGCCGATTTGGACTGTGAACCCGGTCCCCCTTTTCCATGCGAGGCACTCGCAGATGCTCTGAAGACTAACACTACGATCAGAAGCATAAACCTCGAGATGAACGGCATCGGAGCCCAGGGCGGCAAGGCCCTGCTGTGCGGTTTTTTGTAGCTTTGAAGCTCCGGCGGGTCCTGCTCTTGCCAGGCCGTCGCAGAAGCTCTGAAGTCCAACGACAGCATCGCCAACATCCAACTCGAAAGAAACAGCATCGAAGAGGAGCTTCGCAAGGCCCGGTTGGAGCCCAAACTTACCTTTGGTTAGTAGGGAATGGAGGAGTGGGGTACAATTATAACTACTATTACTACCATTCTTCCATTCCCTACTAACCAAAGGTAAGCGAACTTCTGGAAGTTTGCGGGTTCGATCTAGGAAAGCTTGCTGCCAGGAGATCGAAGAGGCTCTGAAAATACGCAGGGCCGCCACTCACTCCACAGAATCTGAGAGGGACAGGGTTGATGCGACGAAGATCTATGCCGTGGGCTTGGTATCCTCCAGCTTGTGGGGTCTTGCATGTGATTCTTTGTCATGCATTGCACACCGGCTCCATGACGCACGATCTTTATCCTCGGACACGACGAGTGTTCAACACATGGGTCACGGGGTAGTGCGGCACCAGGGTTGTCGGCTTGAGAGTGGTCTGCTGGATGAGCTCATGTCATGCGACGTGCGACAGATATAGATCGTCGAGGCGAGTCCGGGTAGTTTGCTCGGTGTTGGCTTTTCCCGGGACGGGTACTGCTGCTGATCTGATCGTTTCGATTACGGACCCATCCGCACTACATCAGAGCATCTTGTGGTCGGGGCAGGACAGTGACCCTCGACCGACCAGTCTGGCAACACCATGCTAGGGATATCTTGAAACCGTCATCATCCGTCATCATTTGTCATGTGGGCCCTTTTCCGTTTGCATCCTGCCGGAGGGCTCGTGTCGCTGGCGGTTGTCTGCAGCATGTATTTCTGCCTCGAGGCAGCCGTATACCTTCTATGGAGGGTCTGAGGTCTGTTGCATGCCTCGATCGAAGTTGCACCGTGTGGTCGCATTGCGAACTCAGCCCAGGCTTGGACGGGGAAAGTGCGAATCAAGGACTTTTGTTTTGCCTTCTTCTCTGGAGAGCGCATGCTTTGATTCACGGCAATCCGTTCCGTGTGACAGGGCCTCGCCTCCCAACTGAAGACCAATAGCAGCATCACCACCTTGAACCTTAGAATCGGCAACATTGCCGGCGAGGACTGGGAGGCCCGGTGGTGCCCAGTAGGTCTTTGCTTGTAAGCTCGGTCCTTCACGCCTGCGAGGCGGTAGCAGGCGCGCTGAAGATCAATCGTGGTATCACCGCTGTGGACCTCGTGGGGAGCTACATCGGAGACGAGGGTTGGAAGGCCCTGCAGTAGGACGGGGTCTTCGCAGCTTGTGCCTCTTCCGTTTTCCTGTGAGGCGTTAGCAAACGCGTTGAGGGTCAATCGTATCATCACCAGCATCTTCGTCGACCGGAGTGTTGTCGGAGACGAGAGCTGCAAGGCACTGCAATGCCGCGGGAACTTCTCAGCTTGTAAGTCCGTTCCCTTTTACCTGCAGGAATTAGCAGAGGCCTTGAAGACAAACACCGCTATTACCTCCATCGGGCTCGGGCACACGCACATCGGACCCCAGGGCGGTAAGGCCCTCCTGCCCTGCGCGCGAGGTTTTCGCAGTTTGGCCCTGCTTTTGGCTGCAAGGCCCTCGCAGATGCATTGATGGTCAACCGCACCATCACAAGCATCAATCTCCGCTCGAACAACATCGGAGCCGAGGGCTGCAAGGCCTTGCAGGACTTTGCCGGTTGAGCCCGGTCCCCTTTCCATGCGATCTTTCCCTTGCGAGGCGCTGGCAGACGCTCTGAAGATCAATCACACGATCGAAAGCATCAACGTCGGCGAGAATGGCGTGTCTGAGCTTGAGCTCGCCTCGTTTCCCTACTCCGTCAGAAGGAGGCTCGAGGGGCTCACTCCTGGGCCTTGGCTTCTCTCACCTCTTTGCCTCCAGCCCTGCCTGTGGCTCCTGCACTCCGCCGCAGCGCTCAGCTGTCTGCCTGCAGCAACCAGCACACCTCCGCAGCAGCGAAACTGACGGCGGATTTAATGTTTTAACGGCTGGTCTGAAGTGCCCGAGTGCAGAAGTCTCGTCGCGGCACAACCGGTCCAGATTCGGCATGCGACCGGCTTGTCAATTGCAGCACCCAAGGCTTTTCGAACCACTGGTTCGTAGGTTCGTCCTAGCCAGGCGGGAGGCAAAACTGGCAACCAGTCTCTGCTCGCAAGCGTCCAACTGGACACTCGCCTAGTGCCAAACGCTTTCAGGTGATCCGCTTCAGGGCTTTTCTGGCTTTCAGGGTAGAGAGAGCATCGAGACCCGCCGGATCCCGAACCATGTTCTCCGTGAGTCATATAATCATGAACCTAAACTACCTGCCATCTAGCAGCTAGCCCCAGCGCGGACCTTGACTTCAGAGTGCCTCACCCTGAAGTTCATGATGCCTGCTTCCGATAAAGGGGTGGGAAGGCCTCTTCAGACACTGAACACAGTTGTGTGATATGAAAGGTTGGGCCTTCTCGGATTGGTGAATGGTGGTTGCTGCATTTTGCGCAAGAGCGGGTGCCAAAGGCCCACTAAGGAAGCCTACTTAAACCATGACACCGGACATGTAGACATTGAAGTCGAATTTGTCTTGCAGCTCTTTCCATGGTGTTGTCTTGCAGCTCTTTCCATGGTGCTGGTGGGCCGGCGAGCTACCAGCGATTTTTCGAGCAAGAGGGCTTCAATGCGGCTCAGATCCGCAAGATGAGTTGCTAAACTGCTGGGCTTCAATTTCGAGAGCTTCAGAGGCTTATTGTAAGCCTTCTTCTAAAGCTGACTTTCTCTCCGGGGTATCCGTCATGTCTCGCTTTTTGGGCTTGCTCTAAATTGCTCACCCGGGCTTTCTGGCGTTCGGCTTGTTTTTCATCGATGGCTTTTCTCACTCTTCACCCGGCAGGCCCTGGCCGCAGCTTGGAAGAACAGCAACATCATCAATATTCCACCTCTCCATTGAGGTATATTGAGGTTGGGGGGGCCCGGACATGGATACCGACTCATGCAGCCTTTACCGTATCACTCCTGCCAGGAGAGTTCTGAGGCTCTGAAGACCAGCTGTGACCGAGGGCTCAACCCCGCATGCGGGAGACGAAGAGACTCTGAACCCGAAACCATCGCTCATAGGGTTTATGGGGCTCCACTCAAAGGGGGGTAAGGCCGGGGCCAAAGCATGGGTGTGTAAACGGGCTTCCCAGTGCGGCACCGAAATCGTTGGGTTACGAGGCGCAGCCGAAACCTGCTATAACAGTGTTTCAACAGCCCGATAATGACCTTGCAAACCTTACACTGCAGTTCTACAGGGCTTCAAAGTTTGACTAAACGTGCCGCAGTAGGGGTCTGCATCTGATTACTTTGCATGTATGTTTGCACATCTGCGTTGGATTAACGACTATGGCGAGCATATAAACCCTATAAACCGTAAACCCCACCCTGGCGAGCATGGGAAGGGATCCTCGAATCCGAATCGAACTTAGAATTCATGATTGGGGTACCTCTCAGGTTCAAGCTTAAAGTAGTGCTCTGAAACTTGAGAGCTTTTGGAGTGGATAGAGGGATCCGGGCAAGGTGCAACCATTACCGGGTTGCTGGAGATTTCTGTAATAGTAAGGGTCTGAGAATCCAGATCATGGGGTCATGGTGAAAGGCTCTATTGAGGGTTTTCCAGCGGCTTGAAGTGGGTTTTACAAGGCTTCACATCAGAGGGGCCTGACAAGGCTCTTGATAGGGATTTTAACAAATTCTTCTAAGAGTGTTGTAAGGGTCCTTAAGAGCGCCTATATGGTTCGGTTGGTTTGGATCTTGTTTGGTGTTGAGTTAGTTTTGGTGCGCGTATGTTCTGTCTCTTTCTGGCACAGTGCTTTTAAGTCGAGAGCCGACGACTCGGATTTGTCTTGCGGTATCATGCACTCAGCTTCAAATCCCAACACCCTGAAGCCTGAAGCGCTAAAGCTCTAAATGCGAGCTTCGTCCTTGCTAGCTAGGAGGGACAAAAAACTCTACAGGCCTCATGCTTAGTTGCAAGACATGCTTAAACCTCCCCCAAAAAGATGCAGATCGAGTTTGCCATGGCCCTCTCATCCTCAAACGTAACAGCGATCAGCAACACATAGGAGTTTCCGAAAGTGAGGGGTACCTTAGTTGGGGGGTCCTTATGATCAGGATCCGACTGTTTAGGATATTTGGGTCCCCTATTTTCGGAAAGTCTCACATCAACTCTGAACCACTTCGGTCCGCTGCGCTCTGGGTGCTGGGAGGTCAAGAGCACGCGGCTGGTGATCTCCTGAGAAAGGCTGATGCGATTTGTAGAGAGTCAGATAGAACTATATAAAAGTAGTCATGAAAGTGTTTATTATTGGTAACAATGAGAATCATGTAGAACTATAAGTAATTAGTTATAAAGGCTTGAACTTGAAGACACTGGATCTAGAAGCCAGAGGTGAGCAGCTTATGAAGCATATATCGGGAAGCACAGGACACTTTACTGTGTGCCCATCCAAACATTCCACTTATAAGGACAGATACATACAGCCTTTGCAGTCAAGCTGTGTAGGACTGGCCGATGTGCCTACTGTAACACTCTCCTTCCCAGAGGTGCCGTTCAGCTTGCAGCATTAGCACGTGCTGGCTGGACCACGGGTGCCAGGCAGCGCGTCGCAGGGCGGAGCGATCCAGGTCTCTTCTTTCACAGCCCCGATCGTCCTTCCTTGTGCAATGTGTTGCTGGTATGTTCCGAATGCGGCTCCGTCTCCTGCACGGCACACATAAATTCACACGTTTCGAGTGCATGCTCACCTCTCCTGCGCCTTGCTGCCGCTGGGGCGTCCTCAATGCAGTCACTGGAAAGGACGCCCCCTGCACAAGATTGTTTTGCACAGCAGCCCCCACCAGCAGCAGGAGCAGTCGCAGCCGCCCCAGCCCCCGGTAGTACCAACACATGATGTCCATGAACCAGAAGAGTCTTTCCGCAAAGCTGTGGGTCTGGCTCACTGCCTCGTCTCCAAGGCCAGTCGCTGGCAAGCTGTCCCTTAGTACCTGCCTGGCACTGTGACAGTTCTCAGGCCGTCAGGCACACAAGTTGCAGACACAAGTCCAAAATTGATTAATCTCGACAGTAGCTCTAGTATCCGCTCGGCACCATGGAAGAGCTGTCCTTCAGCCCTGACGAAAGCTGCCAGAACTCTGAGGAGGAAGATCAGCGTCAGAACCGGGATGCCTCGCTGTCCCGTGATGTTTCCAGAGATCTGCAAACAGCCCTTGAGCCGTCGCTGCTACGAGGGGTTGCGGTGTCTGTGGCCCTTGCCGGCTGGGGCAAACACTGGGAGACTCCGGACAGCGGCATGTTCCGTGTGGACCCGCAGAATTACGAGCTGAGCCGGCCTGCAGAGACTCTGGATGTCTTTCTGAGCCACGACTGGGCATCCAGCCGCACCCTGAAGTTCCTGTCGTTGCTCATTGTCTACAATTCCCTTGCGGCCTTCTGGGCGTCGCTAGGCGCCAGCATCCTTTTCGGCCTCTTACGGGGCCTCAGGGCCATCCCAGATGAGCCCTGGATAAGTCACTTCGTTCACCTCGTCTTCCTTGTGGTCTTCTTCTTTTGGCAGCGGATGCGAGAGCTCTTCTGCCGACCGCAGATGGCCTTTCTTGACAAGCTGTGCATTGCGCAGCACAGCGACGAGATGAAGCAGCAGGGAATCCTGGGCCTCCCTGCTTTCGTGCTCAACTCCAAGAAGCTCCTTAGGGGTACTTCGAAAGGTTTTTTAGTTTTCTGGTTATTATAATCCCTCAGAAACAGCTAAAATTGTAATTTTTGCTGGGGTTCTAAGTTCAGTATAGGCTCCTTGTACTTTGGACTCCGCGGTACTTTGGTCGCCTCTGGTGTACAACGGAGATTGCATCCTTCCTGAAAGATCCTGATGAGCGCCGCAGCATTGAGTTCATGCCGCTGAAGGTTGCTGCGATTCTGGTAATGGGGGCAGTTTGTTGGCACCTGCTCGCCATCGGCCATGGCATCTTTGCTTTCACTTTGGAGGATGACAGTGCCGCAGGCATCACCGTGGTGCTACCGATATCAGGCGTCATGATCACTCTGGCTACCGCGATTCTACCGTTCATCTTCTACGTCGGCCTCTCGCTGGTGCGCGATCTCGAGGAGCTTCCCGACCAACTGTCCAAGTTTCGGGTGCAGGACGCTGCTTGCTTCTGTTGCACAAACAAGCACAGGCATCCTGACACAGGCGCCGAGCTGTCTTGCGATCGCCTTCTGGTCTTCAAGTCCCTTCAGCGCTGGTTCAGCGGGAAAGAGGGGGGCACCGGGAGCACCAACAAGGACTGCTTCTTGGATGACTTCAACTCGGTGGTCCAGAATCAGCTGGCGGCCCAGGTTGTGCAAGGCATGAGCGGTGCTACGCTGCCTTTCAGATACACGCTCTACATGGTTGGTTCTTGTGCAGCACCCTACCTCGCCAACATCGTCCCGCTGTGGATGACGAGGTTTCGCTCTGGGCTGGCCGGTTATGCCCTGTTCGCATGGACCTTGCGACAGCTGATGGATGCAGCCATTACTGGCGTTACTGGCATTTGCGCGGTCCGTTTGTCTCTTGAGCTCTGGAAGTTCGGCATGCGCCTACAGAAGACACACAGAGCTTTCCGGTCACGCATGCTAACGGTGGCTGTCCTTGTGCCCATTGAGGTGGTGCTGGTAAGCCTTTGCTGGCTGTCCTTTGCTTTCTGCAGGGCTGCCACCAGCGAAACTAGCCTACTGCCAGCTTTACCCTTTCTGGCGGACGTGCTGGCCACCCTCTACCTGTTTTGGCCGTGTCGGAGACTTCTGGCTGGCATGGATCTTGCACCCCGCAGGGCAAGGCGCCCATCCACTGGCAGTGTAGGGTCGGGATTTGAAATTTAGCTTGAATGGATTTTGGCGACGAGATCTCAGCTTGTCGGAGACAAACTAGTGAGTCGATCGGTTCAAAACAAGTGAATTTGGCGCAGCCGCTTGAGCTACAAGCCGGCTGATTTTCCCCTTGCAGACATTGTACAGATGCAGGGCTTGCTCATCCGATGCTTTTCACCATGTTAGCAGCTAACAGTTAGCTGCTGAAGGTGTCTTTCCGCGTCTCTGGCTCATTCCCATGGATGCCCCTTTGTTGTGTTTCCGTCCCTAAGCCCATAGGAGTGCTTTCCTGCTTCGCTCGTGTCAAGTCATGGCGAGTAAGGTTGTAAGTAGCCATTTGTCGATATGTACGTGGATATCACTTGCCACAGCAGCGTATGCCCCCACACCTTCTTGGAAGACAGCCGTAGTAATCAGCGGCCAACGCCGTTTTCGACTTTCTCATGGACCCATATCGCGTGGAAAAAGCTGCTCGCATTCTAGGGGAGAATTTTCAAAAAAGGGCAGGACATCTGGCGTTCTGGGATGCAGGTAAAGACTCCTACATGTATGACCCCCTAAACCGGCCCTATACCCCACACGCCTCAGGCTGGGCAGGGATTTCTGGGGCGCTCTCCCAGTTCCGCCGGGGAGCCGGCAGAACTCCAACTCACTGCTGCCCGGCACATCATTCGAGCCCCTGACTTTTTTTAGCTGGGATTTACAGGTTACACAAAGTTCAGGGTTTGGGGGATGTGCAAGAACTGAAGTTGGATCCTAATTCACACAATACGGTACCTTCTTTGGGGATTCATATACTGATATACAAGTAATTCAGTCAGGGGCTCATTTATATAGGGCTTCAGGTCTACCGTAACTCAGGTCAGGCTTCCTTCGTCAAGGCAGCAAAAAGGAGTCATTCGGATTTGAAGGCAGGTCCTGTGAATCGCATGCTGGCAAACTTGGCACCCGTTGGTACAACCCCAAGGTTTTCTTATCCTTAGAATCCCGGCGTGGAGAAGATGTAGAGCAGGGGAAGGGGTGGCGGTTTCCATTATCTTAGCAATGAAGCCTAGTCACCCTTGTTGTTGGGGACAATGCCTGAAATATGGACGACAATCGTGCAGCAAATGGCGGCCAAACACTGGTAATGGTTGTTGTAAGAGTCATGGTCATAATTACAGTGCCAGGAGTGATGGTAGCAGTAGCAATGATATCAGGGGATTGTCGGAACATGGCATTGGCTGTGTGAGTGGCTTTCTGCGGGTCCTTATGGCTAGGAACCATAATTCCTAACTCTCCATTTCTTGTTCACAGCCGGCCCCCGTCTCCAGCCCCAAGTGGCAATGCCAGTGGCTTCTCAAGAAGTCCCAGCTGACTTCTTGATAACGCCTCCCAGCAACTCTGCATGGGATCCCTGCCTGTTCCTTGAATTCATGTCCCAGGAGAGCCCAGGCGAGGAGAGCTCTGGACCGCGCGAGGCCCTGATTCAAAAGCGATGAGACTTAAGACTTAATTCCCGGCATTCCAATTCGGAGACGGGGATTCAGCGGGGTTTCGGGCAGGCCAGCAGCACGCGACTGGTGATCTCCTGAGAATGGCTAATGATTAGCTAATGCATACTGTATAGAATCATATAGAATTATATACAAGCAGTGATAAAGATAATCACATAGAAGTTTTTGTATCAGTGGTTATAAAGGCTTGAAGACACTGGATCTAGAAGCCAGAGGCGAACAACTGCTGAAGCATATATCGGCGAACAGACGACACATTACGCTCATCCGAACGTTCCACTTATAGGGACAGGTATATACAGCCTTCGCAGCCAAGGATCGTAATTATTGCAAAAAGAACTTCGTGGAGCTTTCCTGCTGTGACAAGCACGAATGCCGCGTCTGCTTGCGCTTAGACCTGTGCTGCGATTCAACACCCCAATGCCCCGCACCTCAAGCTTGGCATGCCTCACCTTGGCGCATTAACCATGCTAGTCGTACCAAAAGTTTTGGCCAAGCATTCGGTTTGCCATGTGCTTGGGAGGTGCTCAAACTGCTTCGGCGTCTTCTCAGGCTAGCTCGGCATGTGAGTGCAGTTCGGCGGCAATGACTGAGAACAAAAACCCAAAACCCGAACACCTGCTTCACAGTCAGATGGGCATGCAGTCGCTTCAGAGGGGCCTTAAGAATTAGATTGTGGTTTTGGGGTATATTATACTGTAAGAAGGAACCCCAAAACAGTATTGTTAATTAGTGTATTGCTGCCTCCAGTTCACGTCACCCGAGCCCGGCATGCCACGTCGCTTCGAGCTTCTTGACGTCAAGATCGAAGGCATTGCAAGGGCTTGGGACGAGATTCTACTACAGTAGAAGCCAGAAAGTTGGAATATGACTATCGTAACCCCCTTTATGGTAAATTATAAGGTATCCTACCATTAATCCATATTCCAACTTTCTGGAGTTCCCTGTAGATTCTTCTGGGATGCAGCGCGGGGCTCCTGTGATTGCATTCTCCGGTGTGGAAGGGCTTGAGATGCGAAGATGCCGCGGTTGGGCTTCGAAGTTTTTGTGAGATGCTTTTCGGTATAATTTTGGGCTCCGGAAGGGTCTGAATCGTAGCAGGCCGAAGCTCTTAGTTAGTAGCTGCGCGGATACACTTTACACTTTTTGGGATAATACTACCCACTTTAAAACTAAAAGTGTACACTTTTGGGGGCTTATGAACTCATCAACTAAGAGCTAGTTTTCCCCGGTGTCTCTTGAGGAAATGTTATCCTTTGGTGAACAATACCTCAACTGTTTCTCACAACCCTGACACCGTGACACCCAACCCTTCAAAGCCAGCACCATGAAACATCAGACACTTGCAGATACAGGAGCCTCACGAACAGATGCCTGCCGCTCCCTGATATAGCGCTTATGGAGAGCCTTATGTACGGTGTGTTCTTTATTCCGATTCCCAAAAGGCTGGGCATGACGCACGGCTAAACAAGCAAGGCCGGACGTGGGTTCGTGCTGCTTCGTGCGCTTGCAGTTTTAGTCCGGCAGTCTTTTGCAACCTTGTGCTCCAAGTTGTGTGTATTTTTTCTTGGATGGTACCATGCAGAGGAGTCCCTTGCTTGAGGTTTCTGGGCTCGGGCCGAGGGATCGAGGTGAACCTGTTTCTGAACCGCAAACCTCGAAGCCTGACACTCGGACTCCCTACAGATCCACGAGACGAAGTGCGAAACCTAAC